GGGAGGCCGAGGAAGGAGGATCACCACTATGGGAAGGGAAAAAGGGAGGCCGAGGAAGGAGGATCGCGATGGGAAGGGAAGGAGGGGATGTTCCCGGGGCAAAAAGGGAGGCCAAGGAAGGAGGATCGTAATGGGAAGGGAAGGAGGAGCAGAGATGTTCCCTGGGGGAAAGGGGAGGCCGAGGAAGGAGGATCACCACTATGGGAAGGGAAAAAGGGAGGCCGAGGAAGGAGGATCGCGATGGGAAGGGAAGGAGGAGGAGGGATGTTCCTAGGGGGAAAAAGGGAGGCCAAGGAAGGAGGATCACGATGGGAAGGGAAGGAGGAGGAGGGATGTTCCCGGGGGGAAAGGGGAGGCCGAGGAAGGAGGATCACCACTATGGGAAGGGAAAAAGGGAGGCCGAGGAAGGAGGATCGTGACGGGAGGGGAAAAAGGGAGGCCGAGGAAGGAGGATCGCAATGGGCAAGGGGAGGAGGAGGAGATATTTCCCCGGCGAAAAAGGGAGGCCGAGGAAGGAGGATCACGATGGGAAGGGAAGGAGGAGGAGAGATGTTCCCAGGGAAAAAGGGAGGCCAAGGAAGGAGGATCTTGATGGGAAGGGAAGGAGGAGGGGATGTTCCCGGGGCAAAAAGGGAGGCCGAGGAAGGAGGATCGCTGGAGGCCAGGAGTCGGAGGCTGCTGTGAGCGAGGCTGATGCCACGGCACTCACTCCAGCCCGGGTGACAGAGCGAGACTCTGTCTCAAAAATGAAATGAAATGAAATAATGAAATGGGATATAAAAAAATAAATAAAATAAGTTTAAAAAAATAAAATAACAAAATTAATAAAATAAATAAAAAAATCTAAAAATGGCAAAATAAATAAAAAATAAAATGTAAAAATAAAACATAAAAAATAAAATATAAAATATAAACTAAAATAATAAAACAAAATATGAAAAATATAATATAAAATATAAAGTAAAATAATAAAATATAAGGCCAGGCACGGTGGCTCACGCCTGTAATCCTAGCACTCTGGGAGGCCGAGG